TTTCCATAGATTTTCTATTGGATTCAAGTGAGGTGATTGGCTGGGCCATTCTAGAGGCTGTATTTTATTTCTCTGAAACTGTCCTTCATGTGTTTGGGGTCATTATCTTGATGAAATGTCCTCCCACATTTCATCTTCATCATCCTAGTAGATCTTCTGTGATACCAGAGACACCTTTTTATTGGCCAAAATTTGAGACTGAACCAGATGATATTGCATTGACAACGGAGATTTCAGCTGGTGTCTTGACTTTTTGTGTTCAATACATTTTCCCTGTGCTATTCTACATGATTACAGATAACTTATTTTCTGGAGATCTATGATTTGATTTCTTATGTGTGGATTGCATGGATTGTTACTGATATCTGGTGAAAATGTCATGTCAATAGCACCTCTAAAAATATATTTAAGGAGAAAAATGGTGGCTTGTTCACTACTTATTTTACCAGCTGTACATTGTTCACAACTGGCTAACTTGTAGCTGCTGACAAAATGAATATCGGCCTTTTCATGCTAAAGTAGGTCTTAGGGCTGCAACTAACGATTATTTAAAAAATCGATGAATCGGCCGATTATTTTTTCGATTAATCGATGAATCGGACAAAAAAAAAATTTTATATTAACCTCTTTATTCCAAAATAAACATTTTAGACAGAACAAACAAGCACACAAGTACAGGTTGCTCATTAACTGTACTGGTGCAATATGAAAAATAAATGTTTGTGTAAAAACTACGCAAACTTACATGAGAAATGTAGCTGTACATCCACAAAATATAGGCTACTTTGGTTCATAAAGCGCAAAAAGAGACAGGCATTTTTGTTTTTTAAAGCCCCTAAGGGGTTCAACAATAGGTCCCCCCATTTCAAGAAATGAGTTTTTTTTAGACTAGAAGAGTTCTGCCTTTTAAGACAGGAAAGTATAGCAGTTAAAGTTGCTGCTTGAGAAAATACTGAACCATAGAGATAAAAATAGCCCTGTGATTCTAATTATAAATTGTATTTGGAATAAAAATGAGAGAACTAGGGGTGGTAAAAAAACACATCCTCCAAAGACAGATATTTACATGGGAATGTGGCAGATAATTAATTGACATATTACTGATCTTGCTGGATTTTGTTCTGCTTTACTTCCATAAATTACAGGATCTTCTTTTCTTTATCTTTGCCAGAAGATTTAAACTTTAAAAGCCTTGCCCTCATAATTTGCAAGTTAATTTATTTATAAAGAAAATATAAACGCTGCTTAAACAAATGTAAATGAAATTAAAAGTAAAATAAGTAGCCAACCTTATCCCTGTCTGTAACCTACTAACAAGGTAAGGAAAGCATCAGATGAGCTACCTGAGAAACTAACGTTACGTTTCCCCACTTTAAAACCAAACAAACATGGTTACTCATCCTGCTGATCAGCTCTCTTCACTGCCATCGAAGGCTCCAAAGTGTTTTCTTTTCAGGTGCTGCGTCATAACAGTGGTGCTTCCGTGCCATGTTAATTTCTTTTGAAAAAAGTTGCATGTTATCACTTTTTTCACTTTACAAAGCGCAGGCTATTTTAATTATTGTGATCAATTTGCGCCGTCAATCCCGGCGCATGCGCGCTTCATTTGCAGTCTGGACGCTGAGGGTAAACTCCTCACTAAAATCCTGCGGCTCTGACTGCCGCGCTGAGAGGGATTCCTGTGGGAGAGGGAGAAAGGGGTTGGGATGGGGGAGGCGCCCCACGGCAGGCAAAAGCCGCCGGTGACACCGTAAAAAGTCGCCAGATTTGTCGCTAGTCGCTTTTTTGAAAAATAGTCGCTGGAGGGGTCTGAAAAGTCGCTGAGTTGGCAACACTGCAACTGCGGCGCTGACTCGCTCCGCCATATTTTTTTTTCTTCCCCCGGATGACGGCGGCGGCGGATGACGCATTAATCGCGCGACACAACTAATCGATGATTAAATTCGTTGCCAACGCTTTTAAAAGTCGATTTTTATCGATTTTATCGATTCGTTGTTGCAGCCCTAGTAGGTCTTCAAAGATGCATAATGCTCGGCTAGTGCCAGGTGAAACCCATCGTTAGCAGCTAGGGGGGCTAATATAGAGATAGTACAACTTTTGTATGAATCAAAACAAATGTTTCATGGCTTTTTTCCCCTTTTACAATGGAATCGTATAGTCCACACCATAAAGCCTGTTTCTAATGCTACAAATCAGCAAATCCAGGCCCCTGACTTCAATGGGCTTTCAGACGGCTGTTTTCATGGTAATGAAAAGGTTTTTAAAAATTGTGTTGGAGCCGCAGAAGGATTACGCATCCCTCTCTGGGAAAGCGTACTGTAGGATGTTATAAAACATCTCAAACCAAATATTGAACTTGATATTCACAAGGAACAATATGGCTGTTGCTCTGCCTATAAAACAGTAGGTCTTCTTGCAGTGAGCGGGGGAATCATTGGGGTTTGGTTGTTAAATTTAGATATCTTTTGTGCATCTGGAGAAGGTTTAGAGATCAAGTGATGCAGGTTTTTTAAGGCCGATTCCATTTGTTTTGACATCAGTCTTGGGCTGAAACAATTAGTCGGATTAATCGTGATGAATTGATTATTGAAATAATCGTCAATTAATCTAGTAAACAATTACTCGTTAACTGGAGTATAGAGACTCAAAAACATGCCTTTAGCCAACAGAGCAACCCGATTAGAGGAATAATTATGCCAAAATTGTAAAAAAAAATAAATAAACATTTTGCATTTAAGTTTAAAAAGTGTTTCTATCATTCAATATCTCCATTCAGATCTCCTCAAGTGGCAAAGTTTTAGTTTCACCTGGTTTAATTTAGTAAAAAATCTTCTTTAAGGAACCTTTATATTAATCAATTAATATAAAATATAATCAATAGATCAATCGATTAGCAAAATAATCGTTAGTTTCAGCCCTACATCAGTCTAACCAATTTTTTGGCTGATTCTTGGAGCTGACGTGGCTTTTTATTCCATGATAAAAATGACACCATGATATTATACAAGTCTTAACTTGAACAAAAAGGCAATATTTACATGCAAATGAAACAAAACATTAATAACAGATGCAAATCAGGGGAGTGGTAATACATGCACTTCACATGATCTCAAGTCATGGCTGCTGATTGCATTTATGAATCAGCCAACACTCACGCACACAAAAACAAAACACCCAAAAAAAAAACTATGGTTTTCTTTTAAACATATTGGCTAGAACTAAAATGTCCATCAGTGGACCACTGGACTCAAAACATTGACAGGAGAGTATGTAGCAACATATCATGAATTCTAAAATACACTTGTTGCAATTTTGTTTAAGCCACTGAAAAATGTTGTAATGTTTGCAGTTTGACCATTTAGTTAGAAATGTATCTTAAAATGTATTTTATTTGTTTCTCTTCAGTTGCGCCTCACTTACTGTCTGAGTTATGCCACTGGTAAAATTGCAGAGTAGTTAGGCTCCTTTTCTATCTTTGTCACAGAGAATCGGGCACTCATCATGGCCTCATTCGCTTCAGTTTGTTCTCCTTCTTACAGACATTATAAAACAGCTTTTTTCTCTTAAAACAAATCAGATCTGGTTTGTTTGGAAAGCAAGGCCTGACTGCTGCAGGAACGTAAAGTTGCCTTAAGGGCCAAGCTGTCATATAAACAAAGCTAGCGCTTGTTTCTTGTGCACTTTGTTCTGTTCTTGTCACAGGTCCTATTATGTAGTTGATGGGCAGGATGTGAAGGTGTAGTTTGGTCTCCTAATTTTCTTTTTTTCAGCTAATGTGGTACAATTGCCTTCTTCATGTCATTTTAAGTGTGAATCTAGTAGCATTAGATTGTTTTTTTTTTTCTCAGTCGGTCAGTCTACATTCCACCCCTCACCTCTGAAGGACATAAGTAGCTGTTATAAGTTTTTCTGAGATACTGAACTTTTGTCCCAAAAGGAGCCCGTTAGGTTGGGTTAGGCTTCTGATCATGAAGCCTTCCAGTTGGGATTTTTGTAGAAACAGCTCAGTGGAAGCTTAAGAGGCTACAAATCCCTTCTTGCTCTGGAACCAGAATGAGGTGGTGGGGGATGTGGGATTCCCTCCGATTACCAAAGCGATTCGATCTCTGTTAAAAAAAAATAATAATTATACAATATTGATAAATAGCTGTAATAAACAGTCACAGAAATCTACCTAAGCCTCAGGGACTGTTTTCCATATATGGTTGTAAAATCCATTTGGTGTCTGAATTAGATGCGGCAAAAGGAATGGGGTGATGAATACCACATTTTATTCTGCATCATAAGTTGTTATTTTTTTTATTTCTACAGTTTGTATTGTGAAAATAAAAAAATCCCCCATACACTCTGGCTATTGGTTGTTTTTTTGAATTAGTGTTTTTTCCCTTGTTTGGGAAAAACCTAGCAGTCACACTAGCTTCACGCTTAGGAGGTTTAAACCAGGAAAAATAAAGCTGATTTTAACTTGAGGCTCTTTTTTATAAGCTGTTGACCAAATGTGCAGCTATTCTAAAAGGTGTAAGCATGACCTCATAGCATTAAATAAGAGGAATGCAGTGAGAAGGGGTAGCAACAGGGAGTCTAAATATAACCAGATGCTAGGTTTGAGATCTGCTGCAAATTATGTTGTTTTTTATTTTTTATACCTCAAGTAATAATTGATTATTTTTAACTTTAGTGGAACATTAACAGCCCAAGCTTTCTGCAATCTGTTGAATGGGTTTTAGGTTAAATCATTCCAGAGAATAAAATGAATTAGTTTCATTTTTCCTTCTTTTCTTTCTACGTGTTGCATTCTTCTCAGTGTCAGTTTAACCTTTTTTTTTTAAAAAAACCCAAAAAAATAATAATTAGTATATCCATTTTTTTAATTTTTTTCGTATCACATAAAGTGTTTTTCTCTGTTTGCTCCCTCAGCTGACCTGATTATGAGTATACCCTGTCTCGCTCTGGTTTTAATGAAAACCTTCCTGTTTTTATCATACTTTTTCCAAACCCAGGTGCATCTGAACCAGAGGAAGAATCGGAGCAGGAGAAACAGCCCCGCAAAGATGTAAAGACAAAACCAGAGAAGAGGAAGATGATGACAGAGAAAAACCCTAAAGCCAAGAAGAAGAAAACTAATGACCAGGTTTATGTCCTTTCCCTGCCACTCTGTTTTATTTCAATATTAGAAATCTATATAATAAATATATTAATAGGAGAGAAAAAAAACAGTCAATTTATGCGCAACTTTCACGTCAACCAGGATATTTAATTATTTCATTTTTTTTTTATAACCAGCATCAGCAAGCTGCTCTCCAAGGCTGGCTCACAAAAAAAAATAATTACAGGCATGTGTACTGCAGACACCCATGTCAGCATAGCTGCTTTTCATTTGGCTTTTAATTGACACATTTTCTTATTAAAAATAACTACACTGCAGAGTGCAACCTGAATCAGATCTACTCCAGTAAACACTGACAGTGCAAAGTAGATACTCTGAATGTTAATGCCATTTTGTGCTAAGAAATTTAGATTTTTTTTGTAATAACAAAACACCAATATGTTGTTGGGAAAACAGATTTGTTGTTGTTTGTTCTCAGTGGCTGTTGGTTTGTTTTGGATTTGTTCTAATCCTGAAATAATTAGGTAGTAAACTGTTATTATACGAAAATAAGATGGCTGATCTGTGGTGAGCTTTATCTTTTTAAATATATTTCCTTGGAAAATAGTTTTTACCTATTACATTTCTTTATCTATTCACATTAAAAATACAAACATCAATATATCTTATTGTCATTTAAAAACTGACAAACACAAAAATGCAAAAATAGTTTAGTTTTGTGTATTTATTTAGTAAAACCTAAAAATGAAATCCAGTGATGTCCCTTTCCTGTTAAATTCATTCAGCTCGTCTTTTGGTGTGTAATTATATTTCTTTTTAAATACAGCATCAACAAACCCAAGTTGCATCCCTGTGTCTTTGGACAGCTCTTTGGTCTTGGCCATGATAGTAGTTGGATTCTTACTGATTGTATGGGGTGGACGGGTGTTTTTATTCAGCTAACGACCTCAAACAGGTGCATCTAATTTAGGATAACGAATGGAGTGGAGGTCGACATTTTGAAGGCAGACTAACAGATCTTTGAGGGTCAGAATTCTAGCTGATAGATGGGTGTTCAAATATTTTTTTGCAGCTGTAGCATACAAATCAATAGTTCAAAAATGATTTCTTTATATATATATTTTTTTTACGTTATGTCTCTCACAGTGAACATGCACTTACAAGGACAATTTGAGACCTCTCCATGATCTTTAAAGCCCCTGTCACACCTTGACGATTTAGATAGCGTATGCTTGACGTACGAAAAATCTGGCAAAAACGCTGGCATATGTTGGTTAAGTTATGAGCGCACTGAAGAATGCTGAACACGTCGACATACAGCAAGTACTTTAGGTGTAATTTACTCATAAGTTTTAGCTACTCATAAGTCGTGGTGTCTAGCTTATCCAAAACCTATGAGTAACTTGTGCATAACTTATGCGTATCTTATCAACACATATCAACGTATCTGACCTGTTCCAGGCGACCGCTCAACGTGTTTCTAACTTACAGCTACTGTTTGATGGCGTATTGGCAGCGATTTTGTAATAAAAGGGTCAGTTCTCCTCCAGACTTCATCCCCATCATAGGGTAAGGAGAAGGTGAGTGTGATGGATCCTCCCTGCGATCACGTCTAAGCCCAACAAACTTCCTAGAAGACGCTGAATCTGCTGTGACTGCTAACCTTCTTTCTTTCTTTTTCTTTTTTCTTTTTATTTATTGGGCGGGCAGTAAACAGCAGCTCAGTTAATACCGCAATCAAAGAAATCTTTTTATGCAGGTCGAGCACCTCTGGGACACTGGCTTTTGATATTTAATAGGCATTACGCTGTTTGCGTTATGCATAAGTTAGGATATCATTGCACATAAGTTCTGGACTCATTATGAATACTCTCTCATATGCCCAATATTGAAAAAATGCATAGAAAGTTCAGCGTATGCCAGCGCTTTAGAAGAGTCTGGGACGTATGTCTTACGCTGGCTAAATCGTCAAAGTCTGACAGGGCCCTAAGTGGAAGAACATGCAAAATAGCAGGGTGTTCAAATTATTATTATTGTTGTGTGTTTGCTTGTCTGTACTGTATATATTTGACCTTTTGCACGGGAGCTGCAATGGAAATTTCGTTGAATTCTGTTCAGTGACAATAAATGCTATCTCTCTCTCTCTCTGACTTCAAAAATGTATCTACTTTGTAAACAAAAATTCTAGAACTCCTAATTGGATCAATATAGTTGAAATTCTTGGTGTAAAAATGCCCACGTTTTTACAACATGCAGATGAGGTCATTGGACACATGCATTGTTTATTGTTTCAGAGATAACATTCGCTTGTTAATGTCATTTCAAGGTATTCAGGCAAACTTGTATGTTTTTTCGGGTTTTGATTTTGCAGAAAGAGCGAGTAATTCCTCAAAAGAAAGAGAAGGAAGATCAGCAATCGTCTGAACCCAAAAGGAAGAGAAAGGTGAGTGTGGCGACACCTGCTGTTGGCGCTGCTCTAACACAGAGCGCGGCCCGGGGGCCGTACCGTTCTCTGTTTGAATGCTGGTTTTCCCTCCAGAGGAAAAAGAAAACCATCTCGGACGTCTTGGCCACCTCGGAGCCGAAGCCGGGCAGTGCAGCTGACCTGCAGGATCTGCTCACTCAATACTTCTCAGACAAGCGCTCAGTGATTGAGCTGGAGGAGCTCAAACTGCACAGTAAGTTCCAGCTTTTTCCCTTTTAACTTTCATCTTCAGTCAATATCTGCTGACCCACTGAGGTCACCACATGTCCTTCCACAGACTCCTGTTTCCTATCCAGTAATGACTTGACACACACACTCTCCTCTTATCTGAAACAAGGTGAGCCATGTCTGACCTTTTTCTGTTGTTGTTGTTTTTGTCAGATGTTTTCAACCAGACTCATGTGTTTGACTTCGACTGATTCTTTGTTTTCTTTTTCTCAGTTTGTCCCAAATGGGCAAAGATCCAAAAGCAGCATACAGAAAAGAGTTCAGCTGTTATACTGATTGTCTGCAGCTCTGCGCTTCGAACTATTGATCTCATTAAGTACGTAAACATCCAGTGATGCTGGATCACCAGATATTACACCTAAAGCATTAAATGTCCCAGGTTTTGTTTTAAGCTCCCACCTAATGTATTTCTGTTTGTGTTCAACCTTTGTGGGTCTGCTGGGTGATGTTTCTCCTCATTTTAGATGTGCTGAATTGTTTGCCCAGTCTTTTTAAATTAGCTCCAGCTCAGTTGGATGCAGACCATCTGGGAGCAGCAGTGTTCAAATCTTGGCAAAGGTTCTTAATTGGATTTAGCTATAAAATTTAACTGGGCTGTCCTGACTGGAAAATACTCTGAAACCATTCCACTGCAGCTCAGCCTGTTATGTTTGGGATTCTTCTCTTGCTGGAAAGTAAACCTCTAACACAATCACTGGTCTTATTCAGCTTCTAATACCTTGAAATGTGACCATCTCTCTTTCCTTCAACTATTGATTTGCCTATATATCATAAATTCCATATTTGGAAAGAGCAAATTTTACTGCTGTCGGCAGATTCTAACACCACCTCTGTGTTCTTTCTGATAATTTTTATGTATTTATAACACATACAAACCCATGTTTAGCTTGTGCTTCAGAATTAAGCTTTTTTCTTCTTTTTTTTGCTTGTCAGGTGACAAAAATGTTCAAAACTTAAAGGGGTATGAAGGATTTTGCTTTAAACTATGTTTGATTTCTGATCTCTTTTTGTTTCAACTGCAGGCAGCTGACTGCTTTCAAGGGCGAGGCCAAAGCATCGAAGCTTTTCGCGAAGCACATCAAGGTGACCATTTGTCATTAAGCTATATTAGAAACGTGCAGATTCTGAATCATGATGGGAAACTTTGTGTTTTCTCTGCACAGATAGAGGAGCAGGTTAAGCTGCTGCAGAAGGGCGTCACGCACATCGGCGTGGGAACACCAGGCAGGATCAGTGCTCTCATTGACAAAGGTGTGTGTGGATGTTATGGTTTGTTTCTAATCATCTCCAGAATCCTGAAGGATTTTTTACTTTTAACTTTGTTTCCAGAGGGTTTGAACCTGAAGGCTTTAAGGTACCTGATTGTTGACTGGAACTGGAGGGACCAGAAGCTCAGGCGGATGGTGGACATTCCTGAGGTGAGCTACTGCCCCCTGCTGGGCTTAAATGATAAGCAACAGTTTTAACTGAGTGACATCTGGGACGAATGTTAGATCAATGTTAAATAATGATTGTTCCTTTGTTTCGACCAATTAAGCCTCTGAGTCGGACTCTTCTTAACTGTTTCTAACTAATATAGGATTGTTTGACTGGCAGTCTAATAAATTCTGTACAGAAAAATGTGTCTTAACTTTATGTGAGAAGATCAATTATTAACAAACAAATGTTCAATAATTCAATCACACTAATACTTTAATCAAGGTTTTTTATTTTAGCAGAAGCAGAAAACATTTAGGTAATTTTTTTAATTTAATTAAAAAGAATGTCGAAAATGGTGATTCTGGCTCATATAAATCTATCAAATGTTATACATCTTTTATAATAGAACATTTACAAAGTATTTTTATATTGTTGTCCGGGTCTATAATTAAAGAAATGCCTAATATTTGTCTTTTTAGATCAAACTTGACTTCATGAAGCTGCTGGAGAGCGGAGTCCTGGCTGCTTGTAGAGAAGACAAAGTCAAAATTGGACTATTTTAATTGAACGTCTTTGTGACCTTCTCAGTTATTTTAAATGGACTAAAATGGGTCTCATTCTGCCTGTTTCCTGTTGCATTTATGGTTGTAATCCACTGCTCTTTAACTCTTTTTTTTCTATATCGAGCCTGGAAGTCAATTAAAAATTGGAAAGTGTGGAAACATTTTGAGTTTCCATATTTTGTCCGTTTTCATTTTCAAAACCATTAAAAGAATCAGAATTACCTAAAACATAGATTGTTTTTATTCTAAAGGTAAATGCAGAATCACAGTTTGAGGTTTAATGTTTAGTCCTTTGCCTTTTTGAAATCTGACAACCCATTTCCTCAGGATCTCAAAGAGGGATGGAAAAGTCTTAAAATGTCAGATTTTTAATTTATTGCATTAAAAGTCTTTACTCTTTTTTTAGAGATGTCCCGATCCAGGTTTTTGCACTTCCGATCCGATACCGATACTGGCCGATACCAGCCTATTCAAGCATGCATTTAAGTTTAAGTTAAAGTATTTAGCCTTAGTTGTAAGACTCATGTTGAAAAGGGTTTTAGTACTCTTTATAACATCTAGCCAGCTGAATTAGGTGAGATTGAATAAAACACAATGATTGGTAACAACAAACTTACCTGTTTATTAAGAGATAAACACAAACTGGACAAAATTATGAGTTAAAGGTGCAAGTATTACTGTAAGTTTAAATAAAAATGCAAAACAGATTATGGAAAATATTCTATTAACTTAGAATCAGGACTCTACTCTTGAAAAAAGACACTGTAAAAAAAAAAAAATCAGTGCAAATAACAGTGAACTATTACACAAAAATGCCTTATACTCCCCAATCTCCTCCACACCTAGTCTCCATCTACACATCGTGCAGGATAAAATAATCCCACACGGCTGACATTTTCCCCGCTATCTTCCAATTCACCTGTTTTAATGGTTAGGCTGGGAGACAGACCCAAAAAGACCTGCGTGTGTTGAAGGTGTTCTGGAAAATGCGGACCGGATTCAGGGAACACTGGCGCAAAATAGTGGAATGGATCGTTTCAATCGGCGAAACTGAAAAATACGGACCAGATTTTTTTTTAAAAACTGGATCGGCATTTTTACATTCTTTGCCGATACGCATTCTTTTGCCAATATAAGCCTACTCTTTTTAGTCAGAGCTTAATTTTTTAATTTCATGTAAGGATGCCTCAAATGCAGAACAAAATGCTCCCATGACATTCTAAAAACATGCTACCAGCCTTGGTCTTATTGGCTAGTCCACATCAATTCATGGTCCATATGCAGAAATGGAATTTGTTTTACACTTGGAATCAACAGAAACTGTCAAATGCTTGGTTAAAGTATAAATAGTGACTTTAGACACACTTCCTCCAAGTCATTGGTTAGCAGCGTCCATTAACAACTTCTCATCTTTGGATCAACCTGAGATTCTCTGGTTAAATTCCACTCATGCCCAAACTCTGAGACCTTCAAGTTGTTTAAGAGTGGATTAAATAAAACTGCATATTTATCCAGCTTTGGACCTTATCAGGAGAGAACTAAATTCTAAATGACTGGAGGGTTCGTTCTTCTGTTGGATGAAACCCTAAAACGAACAAAAGCAAACAGCTGAAGCAGCATGTTTGTGTTTGGGGAGGACAGGTAGAGTCATCGCACCTGGAATACCACCTCATGCAGCAACCAATGACTTAATGAAGCACTTAAAATTAAACTACTTTAAATAATATGCTTACTTCTACATGTATTAAGTCAAATGGTACTAAAGTTGTAACCTTTTCATCATGACGTGACATATCGGTACACAAATTTTAATTAGCCAGATAAATTATGCACAGTTTATTGAATCTTAGGACTTAAATGAAAATTATATAAAAACACAATTCAAAGATAAAAAGCAAATCACTCTTTTTTTTGTGTCGAACTTATCAAACAAACCCTTTGAAGTAAGTAATATATAAAGTATTAGCAATACTCTTCGCTTGAATGTCAACTGACACGGCAGATTCAGTAGATGGAGAATAATGTTCAAGCAAGAAGTTTCACTTTAAAAACCTGGAAAGATATCCAGTAATCTGTATTTAATCTAAAATAATCCTGTGAAAAAAGTCCTCAGTGTTTAATAACAACCCAGCCTCTGTAAATATACATTTGAAAAATAAATCCTTAATTAACAGTGTTATAAAAGCTTATTAAAAAGGCAGCAGGTATAGCATCGTGATGTGTGAATGGCGTAGCAACATTACTGTTAAATGCATGCTGATAGAATAAACAGGCTCAGTATAAACTGCTCATGCTGTTGTCTTTACAGGAAACCACTCTTGAATGTGAGGTCATCGGTTAACCCAACAGGAAATTACACTTAGTGTTACATCTTTAAAATAAAACAATTCTTCTTTAGAACGAGTTAAAGTCTTCTTTCTTTGTTACAGTCCTCCAAAATAAACACTTTCAGGAAAGAGGCGCTTTAGAGAAACAGAAAACGGAAAGAGCTTGACATGAGATGGTGGTTAATAAGTAACAGGTTCCAACTGTCTCCCCACCCTGCACAGCCTGTGTGTGTGATTGCATACAGGCGGATATCACTGACATAAAATAAGACAGGAAAAGGAGACGGTCTGTCGACTTCTGTGTTGAAGCCGTCCATCAGGTTCCTTCTGCCCTCAGCCCACGGCCTCTCTCATGGGGAAAGCCAAAGACAGGACTGGGCCCTTGGCTCGGAGGCCAGACAACTCTGCTTTTAAGCAGCAGCGGCTGCCTGCCTGGTCTCCAATGCTAACTGCTAACACTGTGCTGCCCTTCTTCTACCTCCTGGCTCTGATGTGCTTGCTGCTGGGAGTCTGGCTGCTCCTCACTGTGCAGAGTACACAGGAATTAAAGGTGAGCATAAGTTTTAGTCCTCCCTTTCAGGTGTAGAAGCTGAAACCTGTGTATGTAGAAAAGGAACAGGCTGAAATGTTTCTGTGTGCAATAAAACAGGGTGTGACAGAGATAGGCGAGCTCCAAGGTAAAGGTTTAGCCTCATGAGCTGCTGAGTCCCTAATTTATTCCTGCTATTTGAATCCTTGCAGCTGGACTATACTGATCTCGGCAGCTGCAGTGAATGTTATGAGTTGCGAAAGAATGTGAGCTACGCAGAGCGGGACTGCCGCTGCAAGGTGGAGTTTTACATTGACCAAACATTTAAGGTAACAACCCTGCATTGGATATATTGTGACAACATCAGGCCCTTCTACGGCCTAACTAATATTAGGCATCTAAGATGCATCAGAGGTTATATTATTTTTTATAATGATCTGATTGAACTACTATCTTGTCTCTTTTCCCAGGGAGATGTCTTTTTTTACTATGGTCTTAGAAACTTCCATCAGAACCTCCGCAGGTATATGGACTCCAGGGATGATGCACAGACGCTGGGCAGGGAGAGTCAATTAAAGGTATCACTAAACATTTTATTTATTTATCCTTTTTGGTTTCCCTGCATAGTGTGTCTATATATGGTATGATTTGTAATCAGCCCCATGTGCCCATCTTTAAGTTTAAACATCTTTTAATTACAGCGATTCTAGAGGATCATGTCCTACCAGCTTTGTCTAAAAACTGAAGATTTGGATATTTTTTATTGTTAAACGTCTCAGCAATCTTCATACTAGATAGATTCCCCTGCAGACACTCTGTGTGATTTAGATCTGGATTTTGGGCCATTTCAACGCTATTATGGTTTGATCGAAGCAGGTTCATCCTACAGGGTTCATCCTTATATTTCTAACTGTGTAGTTTACTAAATCCAAATAAAAGAATCATCCCCACAGCATGTTGCTGCCACAACCGTGTTTCACTAGAGAATGGGCCTTTTTTTGTCTCATCTTAATATTGCAAATTCATCTACATGTTTACTGTTTCCCCTAAATGATTTGTAGATTATGGGACTACAAATCCCACAGACTAACCAGGATTATCATGTCTACTCCTCTAAAGCTCTTGTTGCACTTCATCTGTTCACGTTGTTTCATACTATTCCCAAATTGAGGTGATTAATTAAACAACTCTTTGTAAGCTGTACAAAAATGAGAGGATTTCTTTAAAAAGGATCCTTCTCTAAATATTCTATCCTAATATTCAACCCTATTGGTGTTTTCTTTGGTTTTTACAATTGTTTTCTTTCAGTCTTCTTAAAGTCTCCATGTTGTTTGAATCCTTCAAAGAACGGCCGTATTAAATCACACTTAATTTGTAAATGAAGTTTATCTATGTGACTTTTTATGTGGATTTTTTATTTATTTTTTTTTTCGTTCATTTGTCAAAAAAAAGTAATTTTCCTTTCATCTCCCAATCTAAACCTGCATTTGTTTTGTTTCTGTATGAAAAAAAAAAACCCTCCAAATGCTGAGACATTTCCGAATGTAGTTTAAAGAGAAAAAAATTAGGAATATGATGAATCAAGCCAACGGTTTGATCTCTGCCTCATGAAGAAGATGCATGTATATCTTACAGGACCACTTAAAGATATGCAAAGGTTTTTTAGATGAAGCTTTTGAGCCACACTTTGCTCTCATCATATTCTGGTTGATCATTATCTACAATAGATCAGATTAGAATGGGCCTCTAAATATACCATTTTCTGATATATAACCTGCTCCTCACCACAAATCTTCAGCATTTATTTCATGGACTCCTTAAACCTTTAACATTATGGCCTTTTAAGCTCCAGAGGTGGATGATGGTCTGTTTCACTTGAAGTGGGATACTTCATGACTTCCTGCTGTGGGTTCACACTAACAGCTTCCATGCACTCACCTCAATGTCAGATTAGTAAATCTAAGATATTTTACTGGCTTATAATACATAGAAATAGAAAGAAAGCCTGGATCCATATTTAAATAACTCTGGATCCGTTTTTTTCCAATAAAGGTTCAGCCTCAGAAAGGCATTATAGGGATAAATAAATGTGTAATTAATTAATTAAATATCTCCATAAAAGGAAGCTAAAACTGTGTTTTGTCATAAGATTCAATTCATTTCTATAAGCAACAGAAAAGCTTTTGTGGTTTGATCTCAGTAGGTTTTACACAGGAAGGTGTAAAAGATGTAAAAGGAAGATAGCGTTAAACCTCCGATTACGTCTTTGTTGAACAATTCATCATTCTTTTTAAAAACCCACCGGAAAAAAACGATGGTCAAAATTTCATAAAATAATGTTAGTATAAAATACAGTTACCATTTAAATATGGAGCTGTTTTAAGAGATGGTATTTGGTGGGTGTCCAGATACAACTTTTTAATTTCTGATACAATACCGATATTAAGGCTGTGAGATATGTCCGATACCAATATTTACCTGATGCCATATTTGCATCAATTTTACCAGCTCTAATTACTTCTTTTATAGTGTAGAATGTTAGTAAAAGGCTTGAATAAGTAATATTACTAAAATTGGGGTAAAAAAGTAATAAAAAGGTTGCAGAAAGGTTTAAAGGTATAGTGGAGGATTTTTGCAAATTTTTTAAAAGAACCGCACTCTCCACTTAAAAAAAAAAAAAAAAAAAGCACATTCGAACCCTGTACCCAATGCATGTCAGAGCATGCAGGAGCCCATTTCTTCTCGTCACGCTATGTTTAAAAGTTGCTGTTCTCATAGTTCATACAAGCTTACTGTGCCTGAATGTCCGCCCCTAAATGCCTCAATCACTATATAGAGCGGGGACTATATAGTGGACTTTATAGTTAACTCAGTTAACTGATCGATCGGACAGATGATTAGTGCTTTTGGCTCCCGGTTAGGAACATAACTCCTCCTCCACCGCGCAGTGCCTGCGCCATGTTTGTTAGTAGTCGCCACTGTCGGATAGCGACAGCAGGCCGCTGTGACAGCAAATCCCATAATGCTTTGCAAGGAGAGCTCTCCGAGCGAAGCATTCTGGGATATATCTGCCTCTTCTTTTATTCTCGTAGACACTTTTTCTCTTACGACTCTCGGCCATTTTCAAAGTACCGCGGTGAGAAAGGGGAGCTTCAATGACTGTCTGAAACCGTAGCTCACCACAGATATACACCTGACAGTGTGCTGGTGCAGAAAATGACAGCTAACAGGAAAAGCACGCAGGACGGCCTTACGTAAACATATCATCAGGATGATTGACAATTAGGAGGACCACTTGATCCACCCGAATCAAAGATTGTCCTTTATACCTTTAACAGAAGCAAAGTGTTTCTATCAGCATGCAAAAATCTGAGATTTTATATGCCGCCCGATAAACTCCAATATTACTTTTTTGGCTAATATCGGACTAATGTCCAATATTAATATCGGATCAGGACATCATTAGATCGTATTTTTCCCTTGGAGCCCTTGGGGCCTATTAGGCTAGCCTGTTAGTTTTAGCCCACAAGACCTGCTAAATTTATACCAAATGTAGACATCAAGAGTTATTTATTGCTGGGTCAGTGTTCGCTGGTTTCATTAATAGGATCTCACTATAAAAGTCTAAAGAATCACTTAAAAAGCACAAAAAAAAAAATAAACAACTAGACTTTGTTGTACAGAAAGTCTGTTTATTATTGTTGTAGAGATAAACCCTAAGTCTGTTTAGAAAGGGAGTGTTTTCAGTAGGCCTGGGTATGCTCATTCATGGTGGCATATCTCTGCCTATTGCGACTTTACTTTTTACACAAAAATGTTCAGAAATGACCAAAAAGATTTCCAGAATACTAATTCAACTCTGCACAGGTTCCTTTTCATTTGTTAGAATTTACAGTGTAACACAGACTAAAATAATCCTGCTCATTCTTAAATAATTTGCATTATTTTCTCTTTTACTTGTCTAGAATCCAAGTACTTACTGTGAACCTTTTATAAAAGACAAGGACGGAGTCCCCATCGCTCCCTGCGGAGCTGTCGCCAACAGCATGTTCAATGGTAAGCACTGCTCATCAATCAACATGTTGCTCCTCTCTGCATTGGGCTAATAACTGACTCGTCTCCTTCCAGATTCTTTCTCCTTTAACTATCAGACTTCCAGCGGTCATATTATGCCTGTTCCTCTCTTACGGAAAGGCCTCACATGGTACACAGACAAAAACATCAAGTTCCGCAACCCAAAGACGGGCAATCAAACTCTGGCTCAGGTGTTTGAAGGTACAGATTTCTCTCACTATAGATCCAAAAAGATGAGTTTGAGGTCAACCGCATGTTTTCTCTGCAGGTACCAGACAGCCTCTGTACTGGCAGAAGCCTGTATACGACCTGGACCCGAGTGACCCGACCAATAATGGTTTTATTAATGAGGATCTGATCGTCTGGATGAGGGAGGCAGCTTTCCCCAACTTTAAGAAGCTTTATGGGATTTTAAACCGGGCGGGAGATCCTTTCACACACGGGCTTCCAAAGGGAAACTACAGCATCCAGATTTCATACAGTATCCTTTTCATTGGTAAATTCCTGCAGCCACGTCTTGTCTGGAGGTTCATTAATGTGTGTTCTTAGAGGTTCACTCTTCGAAATGTCAAAGACAAAGGAACATATGCAGTGTAATGAGGTGAATGTTAAGATTCCTTTAAAGAAAATAGTTTTACAATGAAATTTAAAGAGTTGTATTTTACCCCTTGTCTCAATATAGTGGGGAAAAAAATCTATAAGGCTCACAGTTATGATCCTCCAAGTGGGTCAACAAAAGGTCACCAAGGCTCCATAAGAACTAAAGCTGCAAGGATGCAGAAATCTATAGATCAATGCTTTCTGTTGCAATTAACCCACATTTTCCTAGATTTATTTATTTTTTATTGACTTTAATCCTTTGTTTGAAGAATGTTAAAATGTATATCCTTGTCGGCATCATTGGAGCTTTAAGTTCATCCAAATTGCCAAATAAATATTAGCATTGAGAAAATGAAAGTATGAATCTAGATAATATATTTGCTCTAAAACATGTTTCATCCAAAGCTGTCCTTTATGGTTTCAGTGAAGCTCTAAAAAATTTTGTAGGTTATGTTTGGACACCACAACCTGTTGGAAAGCATGTCAGGATGTTTATTATCTCTCTATCAGAATTGTAAATATGCAGCATTTGCTGATTTTTATTTTTATTTTTACTGGAACTGTATAAAATATATATATAGTGGAGGAGGGGTGAAGCTTTGAGTTCTTGGAAATTTCTTACAATGAGTCAACATTTTAGAAAAGGGAAAAAACGTCAACAAAAAATAGGCAGTCGCTGAATCATTCAGAGGGATAATGACCCAGATTAAAACAAACCTCTATCCTGGCCATCTGATCTCATATTCCTGCACCTTTTTAGAAGCATCTGTGTTTTAACTTCTGACTCCACTATTAGCAGAGCTCTTAAGGGCTTGATTGCATGCTAGGGAGGCAACTTACCCTTTTTCTTTAGGCTCACAGGACTAGAAAGATGTTTCACATTTGCAGGACTTTAGGACTGATTAAAAGATCAAATCCTGTCAAATGTTATTTGAGAATCCAATCTGGTACCAAGTGTTAACAGCAAAGTTCCCAAATGATAAGTTAGCATTGGGTTACTGCTATATTTGATCCACTATTTAAACCTTGACCAGTGGCTCCTGCAGACTTTCCTGTGCAGCCCTTCCAGGGCAGGAAGTTAGTGGTTCTGACCACACTGACCTGGTTCGGAGGCCAGAACCTTTTCCTGCCGATTGCTTACCTCGTAACCAGCAGCCTGATCCTGCTGATGGCCGTCGTCCTCACAGTGGCCTGGTGGAAGTTTGGAAAGGATGGGAAGAACATGAAGGAGTGATGCGCCGTCTTGCCGACGACTAAAACGCATAAAGTAGTAACAGATACCTCTACTGCAGAGGAGGAAATAAGTGAGAAATCGAGGCTGATAAAGTTCAAACTTAATATTTAAAAGCTGTTGTAAAACGAGGTTGTCGTGCTGCGCTCTGTGTCTCAGCTGAAATTTTAATGAAATACTAAAGCACAAGGTGTTGATACATGATGTTTTTAGATCTTTTTAAACAAACTGAGATGATATATTGAATGACTTTAAAAAAAAAAAAAAGAATTAACTTTTTGGTTGACCAAACATTAAACTGAAATAAAAAAACAAGATTTTCTACAGAGTAGCTGATATGCTTGTGACTGGAATCAGCCAATCAGAAACTCAAACTACGAACACGTTAAGCTGATTTCCAACTGATGGGGAAATGAGAACATTGCTTTTAACCACACCTAAGCAGTGTAGCATTTCATTTATGAGGTGAAATATTGATTAGAGTTATAACTGCAACTAAGGACTACTTTGTAAATCGATTAATCTGTCGATTATTTTTTCTATAAATAATCAGATAGCCAAAGTTCTGGATAGAGGATGTTGGCAGAGGAAAAAGTTTTTCTTAAATGCAGGATTTTTTTTTTTTTTTTTACAATTTTTATATTCTCCAAGTCTTTATATTCCAGTTATTACTAAAAGAGTTGACGATTATTTCAATAATTGAATAATCTGATTGTTTCAGGCCTACTTATAGCAACAGGAGGTTCTATGACTTTACAGTTTTGAGAAAAATAAAATTTTAAGTGAAATTAATCAGAAAAGATTAAAAATGAACAAATAAATGAATTTTTCTTTTAAAAGCCTTGGTTTTATGGTGATGCCTCGCAACAGTAGGGGAAACATTTCAAAAGATTTTTATGGACTAATCAGTATCAGCTGGTTAAAGTTTTACCAAACTAGAAAGAGGAATCTGTTTGATCCTCTCTGATGCATCTTATTTATGTATTGGTTTATAATTCATGTCTGAACTTAAAGTGCAATTGTTCATTGAAATAAATGCTTTCTTATACATGAAAAAAAACTCTTTTTTCCCCCCAAATAAATGTGAGACAGTATTTCTCAGCTTATGCAACCAGGGAACTTTAATCTCCATAAATCACTCTGTGGTTAATAAACACAATCAGCGTGTGACAGTGGCACACCTTCGCACAGCTGAGGCTGCTGTTCTGTGAAAATATGAAGCAGCTTGACGTACGTTTGTCCGCCATCTGCCCTCCTGTCACCCAGTGTTTGCTCAGATCAGTGCCACGGGCGCGCAGGAGAGGAATGCACTTTTCTGGTGCAACATTTAAACGTCTAAACCACGAATGGCTAAAAAAAAAAAAACACGCAATAATGCACGTTTAGACACTGATGTACACAGAAATCAAAATACAATTGATCTAAACTCTTCAGCACAGATTGAAACACTCGATCACAATAAACGGGACAAACCACCTGCAAAACCTGCACTCATTTAAGACTGGCTGAACTTGTGATGTTGGCACAGATTTGACCACAGAAGGCAACATTTGGTCTCCAACAGTAAGATTCACTGGAAGGATGTAAAACACTTCATGTGACAAAAACCTTTAAAGAAAAAAAAAATTTAAAATATCGCTGTCGGCCACAACAGTGCAACAGATTCATCCGCTAACAGTCAGAGTAAAAAAAAAAAGGGGGGTGCGGTCCGATATCAGCAGGATGTGAAATAAAAATAAATATCCGATAATCGTTTGACCTAAAAGGATTGCAGTGATGGAATTACAACAACTATTAACAATTTCAAGCTTTAAAACATAAGACGTACCATAAAGACACTCTGCATGGTCCAAGAACGCACCATGGCAACAGGTTGATAAAGGAGGAGATACATGTAATCAATAGAAGGGGATTTAATGAGGAGAAATCATCTGGTAGAGGGTCAGGGTGGAGATCACAGCTTGAGAAGAGCACAGATGGACACATCACAAACAGGGACAAAGTCTTTATCAAACAGTAGTCAGCTTCCTCCTTCCTGTCGCCAACACATTCTTCGTAGTTTCAGTGATAGGACTCAAAGGCGCCACACAAGCAGTTTGTGGTCTTAGAAAAGTTCAAGAAATACAAACGTCTCCAGCTGAAGTGAGAGAAATTGTTCATTTGAGACGAAGCAGGTTCACAAACTCTCCCAGCTGGATTCTTCTTGTTTCGTCACACCGGGCTCGTCTGGACCGCCTCTACGGCGCTGGATTTTGAGTTTTACTCTGAGGAACCTGATAGGTCAGATCCTGAGTGGGCGTGGTCTGTCCGTTGGCATTTTTAGGTGTGTCATACACCGACCCCCCAGACTGCCCGCTGTCGGTCCATGCGAGCTTCGAGGACGGCCCGGAGCTCACAAAGTTAAGCACTGTGGAGGGAAGGTGGCAGCCCATGTCCACGACGATGGGCGTAGCGTATTCGGATCCGGATGACGGCAGCGGTTCTGCGTAGGGGTGGTAAACATTGGGTGGGATGGGTGCATCATACAGGTCAGGATCAGAGTACCCTGGTTCAGGCCCTTCGTCCGGTTTAAAGGTTGAACGTGGACCTAATGTTGTCACGCCGCTCACCAGTGGTTGGGCGTACTCTGCAAACAAAACCAGGAAAAACGTCACCACAAAAAACCTCTTTGTTTTTGCCAAAAGTCATATCTTTTTTTTATAATGTCTTACAGTGGACATGCACCTACAATGACGTTTTCAGACCCATCAATGATTTTTAAGTAACTTGCAAAATAGCAGGGTGTTCAAATACTTATTCTCCTCACTGTGTGTCTGAGACCAGATTCTTACATCTTCATATCAGACCCAGGCTGAATCTGTTACCCAGAGACCACAGGCTGGTCCCCGCTTAGCCTCTGTTGATGGATTCTGACCTTTATGGTGCAGTAGTATTGCAGATAATCTGTTCTGGTCCTAAAGTCATAAAACCCACCGACTGGCCCTTTGAAAGCCCTGATTATTGACCGATGTACACTTGGTGAAGAATACTACTGAAAAATACATATTTAGAGTTTTAAAAACTACTGTGGAGTATTTTGGATCATACACTACAGAGCTGCTGCAGTAAGTTGCAAACAGCATTTTCTTCCCATTTCATCATTTATTTTAAAAAAGTAAACTCCTTAAAAAGTCTACATTAAGTTTGGCTTTTTAAATGTGATAACAGTTTAAAATAAACTCATCAATTTAAAGTATTGTTTTAAGGAAAATAAGCAGTTTTCTTTCTGATGGAGAATCGTGTCAGTTTAGACAGCTAACTGTTTTGGATTAAAAATATTTAACCACCAGAACATGGAGCTGGATTTGGTCTAAATTAAGGCACCTTATTATGAAATCCTTTACACTTTAGTGTGAGGCAGTTACATGTAAATATGGATAAATCATGGAGTCAAATGTCTTTACCTAATATTTGCAAATAGCATTCTATCGAATGGCCACCAGGGGGGGAAATACTAAGGCAATTACAAGCACTGTTGTTTTTTAAGGCATTAAAGGAATAGTACACCCAAAACATAATTAGCCTTCATTTTCTACTCACCCCCATGCTGAACAACACCCTGGAGTACTTTTTTGATATCTCAAATGCATCTGGAGATCTGGGAGGCTTCTTGCTGTCTGCTGACATTCAAATAATGGAGGTCTATGGTGACCGAGGCAGAAAGGTCCATAAAAGTCCACAAAAAACGTTTCAATATTCCTCCATACTGCTCGTCCAATGTATTCCAAGTTTCCTGAGTGGGTAGCATCCAGAATTTACTCAAAACGAAGTCATTTAGAATGTTTTTAGAGCATAAACAGTAGTGTATAGGATTTCCTGAAAGCGCGCGCCAGCGCGTTCATGACGCTACGGAAGCCGGCAGACCTAATCAGCGCATTCAGCTCGGCAAAGAACTCATGTTCTCCCTAAACACTGAAGTCCTCAGACATTTTTCTTTCGTTGTTTCTTTCTTTGCACAGGTAAACAGCACATTTCTTCTTCTACGCTTGCATTATTGGCAGAGCAGACGCTGAATGCGCACTTTCATCTGGTTTGGTCTGCTGGCTTCCGTAGCGTCGTGATCGCACAGGTGCGCGCTTTCAGGAAATCCTTTACACTACTGTTTATGCTCTAAAAACATTCTAAATGACTTCGTTTCGAGTAAATTCTGGATGCTACCCACTCAGGACACTTGGAATACATTGGACGAGCAGTATGGAGGAATATTGACACGTTTTTTGTGGACTTTTATGGACCTTTCTGTCTCGGTCACCATAGACCTCCATTATTTGAATGTCCGCAGACAGCAAGAAGCCTCCCAGATCTCCAGATGCATTTGAGATATCAAAAAAGTACTCCAGAGTGTTGTTCAGCATGGGGGTGAGTAGAAAATGAAGGCTAATCATGTTTTGGGTGTACTATTCCTTTAATAATCTAAGTTAACCTGCTGGTAGCATACAGAGAGCCAGATGTACCTGCAGGTTCAGCGTGCAGTCCGGGTACGGCTCCCCTTCCCGGCAGCCGGCTGACCTCAGGGGTGCTGTAGCGAACTGAATCCTCCGTCTCCACCATCTTGGAGGGCAGCAGCTGCTTCATGCCTTTCCACCAAACTGCAGCACATCAATAACGAGTCGCAGAGCTTCAACATAACCACACATCCAGACTCACTACGGACAAAGCGATGACGTACCTGTGCGATCCCAGTAAGGAATGTCGTACGTTCCCTCTGCGCTCTTTTTCCTAGGAGGAGAACAAAGGGTTAAGGAGGAGGGACAAACGTGTAGCTTTAGGAGATGTTTGATTAGATGCGTACTTATTCCTCCAGTGGCAAGCACAGGCCGCGGTCAAGATCAGAGCGGTCAGGATCGTGACAGTAATGGGTACCAGAATTGTCGTCAACACAACATCTAAGAGAAAAAAAATGATAAACTACCAAAAAACAAAGATCCACAGAGGAGGTGAGAGTTTTTATTCCAGTCATATCTACCGCTGCCAGTGTGAGGGGGCATTGTCGTGTTCCTGATGTCTGGGGTTTGCGTGGTTTCACCATAATGAGACGGATGCTTCGTCTTCACAGGAGGTAGAGTTGGACCAGAACCAGAAGTGGTGAAAAGTTTTGGAACCGTCCTCACCCTCACTGACAAAAACAAAAAAGATTTTTGGAAGTTAAAACCTGTTAAAGGTTCAATAAAATTACATTATTACTTAAAATTACATTATTTTATTTTCTCACATTTTCCTAGAAGTTTAAGTTAACAATTTTACAGTGAAAAGTTTTCTGCTCCAACAGCCCCACAGGGAAACCCTACATTTGACAGAATGACCTGCTTTAATACAGACGTCTGCAACTCTTTTAATCCAAGAAGCCCGTTCTGACATCTGACCAACTAATAACACTCATTTGGAGCCAAAAACATTTCATGGGCTTTTTTTTTTTTTTTTTTTAGATATATAAAATATGATCCATATAATTTTTTTATATAAACACATTGACATTTCAAACTTCAGCTTGAAAAAACTTGAAATAAGTAAATATTGAGCATGTTGCTGATAATTTTGGAAAATTAAGCTATAAAAAAACTAAATATTTTCCACTTAAGAAGGTAATAATAATCTATTAATTTTGTGAATAAAAAAAAAAAAGACCTCTTCTGAGTTCTGTTAATATAGTCTGTTTACAGCTGAAAACACATTAAAAAGAAAACTTTTATATACCGTAACAAGTATATACAACAGGTTACTAATGTATTTACAGCTAAGTAAAAAAAAAAAATCTCACTTTAAAACCCATTTCATGATGACAGCCAATGTATTTTGTGAATTGGAAAAAAGAATCAAAGTATACATTATTTATATAATTAGTTTTTTGGGGCGATTCAGTGCATAAGTACTACTTTACGATCCATTTTTTCCATTTTCAATAAATAGTCATAAATCTGACCTTTTTTTTATTTAATATTAAATATCATTTAAAATAAACCCTGAAGTTTCACACAGAGAGAGAGAGAGAGAGAAGCAAAGAAAGTTTCTTCTTTTCCCACTTGCTTGCAGGGTTTTACAAACAACTTCAAATGATTCACACGACCACAAACTTTGTAGTTTATGGTGATATTTATACACTCACCGGCCACTTTATTAGGTACCCCATGCTAGTAACGGGTTGGACCCCCTTTGCCTTCAGAACTGCCTCAATTCTTGGTGGCATAGATTCAACAAGGTGCTGGAAGCATTCCTCAGGGAGTTTGGTCCATATTGACATGATGGCATCACACAGTTGCCGCAGATTTGTCGGCTGCACATCCATGATGCGAATCTCCCGTTCCACCACATCCCAAAGATGCTCTATTGGATTGAGATCTGGGGACTGTGGAGGCCATTTGAGTACAGTGAACTCATTGTCATGTTCAAGAAACCAGTCTGAGATGATTCCAGCTTTATGACATGGCGCATTATCCTGCTGAAAGTAGCCATCAGAAGTTGGGTACATTGTGGTCATAAAGGGATGGACATGGTCAGCAACAATACTCAGGTAGGCTGTGGCATTGCAACGATGCTCAATTGGTACCAAGGGGCCCAAAGAGTGCCAAGAAAATATTCCCCACACCATGACACCACCACCACCAGCCTGAACTGTCGATACAAGGCAGGATGGATCCATGCTTTCATGTTGTAGACGCCAAATTCTGACCCTACCATCCGAATGTCGCAGCAGAAATCGAGACTCATCAGACCAGGCAACGTTTTTCCAATCTTCTATTGTCCAATTTCGATGAGCTTGTGCAAATTGTAGCCTCAGTTTCCTGTTCTTAGCTGAAAGGAGTGGCACCCGGTGTGGTCTTCTGCTGCTGTAGCCCATCTGCCTCAAAGTTCGACGTACTGTGCGTTCAGAGATGCTCTTCTGCCCACCTTGGTTGTAACGGGTGGTTATTTGAGTCACTGTTGCCCTTCTATCAGCTCGAACCAGTCTGGCCGTTCTCCTCTGACCTCTGGCATCAACAAGGCATTTCTGCCCACAGAACTGCAGCTCACTGGATGTTTTTTCTTTTCCGGACCATTCTCTGTAAACCCTAGAGATGGTTGTGCGTGAAAATCCCAGTAGATCAGCAGTTTCTGAAATACTCAGACCAGCCCTTCTGGCACCAACAATCATGTCACGTTCAAAGTCACTCAAATCACCTTTCTTCCCCATACTGATGCTCGGTTTGAACTGCAGGAGATTGTCTTGACCATGTCTACATGCCTAAATGCACTGAGTTGCCGCCATGTCATTGGCTGCTTAGAAATTAACTGTTAACGAGCAGTTGGACAGGTGTACCTAATAAAGTGGCCGGTGAGTGTATATAATGCAAGAAGACAAAGGAGAAAACAAAAAATACAACATTTTTCAATAAATAAAACGTGTTAATGTATACTCTGATAAAATTAGAATTTGTGCATTTATCAATGTTCGTTTTAGAACCACCTAGGGCTGACATTACTGCTGGTAAGGAATTTCTACCCACACTTCTAAAAAAATAACTGGAGCTCAGTCAGCTTGGACAGAGAAGATCTCAGAAGGTGAATTTTAAAGTCTCAGCAGAAATTCTTAATTAGATGTCGTAGCCTAATCTATCACAGCCATACATAAAGCTCCGCCTGTTTAAGGCTGATTTATACTTGGAAACCAGGTCGTCTGCGTGTGTCGCAGTAATGCAAATGTGCCCCCTACGCAGACACTCTGCTGCATCTCTCCAAAATTGTAGGTGAACGCAGACAGAAAGCATCTACACTATGAGTATTTCCTGTTTGGTACGTTACCGGCTTGTTTTGACCACCATTGTGGAAAACATGTGAAGTTGGAGCAGCTAGAAGAACGCTAAGACTGTTCTTCATGCTCATGTCCCTCAGTTGTCCAACAAATTTTCCACTTCCTCATTGCCCTCGGCCATATATAGACACACAGCTAGTTCCTGATTGTCCCTCTTGCGCTGTGGCGTGGAATAACACGCTTCAAAATTGGTCATAAATGAAAAATATCTGACAAGCTCACTGTGACACACTGCTGCGGGAGGATAACCAGCCCTTTATTCCTCATCCTCAGTCTCAAGTCTTTTCAGGCGACTAAAATGTTTTCTCCCAGTCCTGTATTTCCATCATCCAATCAACTGCTGCTAAAGAAAAGCTTGATGCTGTAAAACTGCTTTAGTAGATTTCATTAATGAGTAAATGGTAAAGATTTGGAATATATTAACTTACCACGACATTTCTAATTAAATGTGGAGCAAAGGTTAAAAATTTTTTAATTTATTTTCTTCCTCTTTAGAATCGCGCATTACGCTTTGGTTTATTAGAAAAATAACATAATAGAATATATATTTTAATATTTTCTTTATTAAATTTCTTTATTTAGTATTTAACCATAGCGTCCCAGAGAGATCAGAACTCTGGAGGACTGCAACCACACAACTATGTAAACTAAATAGTTAAAGCAAGAAAGAAAACAAATCAGAAAAATTTAAGATGCTAAAATATTTTTGCACTAAACAGAAACTTTAAAAAAACAAAAACAATCCTCCTTTTACCTTCAGGGACTTGGCAGCCAAGCAGCTCCAGCTTGAGGGCAATCCTCTGATGCCATGAGGTGGGTTTAATCCTCACAAAACGAGCCTCGATTGGAGGAATGAAGTTATTCCTCACTTTGTCCGCGTAGTTGGTATTACCCTGAAAAATCTACCATAGAAGAAGACAAACCTTTTATGCAACAGCCAGAAGTCTCCCCCCCCACTGATGAATCTGGTAACTACTTTTCTCCCCCAACAATGAGGGAGAGTGAGAACTCCCCACAGACAGCATCTCAGCCACTCAATCCATATCCCTCCATTATTAAAGCCCCAGTGTCCCGTCTCGTCCATCACAGCACTTAACTCCAACCCCTGCCTGCTCTCATTTCCTGCCACCCACATCTTTTAGTCAGCTGATAGGGAGTCACAGTCCTCCTGCAGTGCAGCTTTATGGACTGACTTCAAACATTTACTCCAATAGAGAGGGGAAAAAAGACAGAAAATTACATAATGGATAAATAAGCAGCGTTTTATGATTTCTCTTTTCTGTTACCTTGTCTTGCGTGGAATTAGTGTTCTTGTAGAAATGCCACACCTTGCCATCTTTGCTGTACAGAACCTGATATGCAGACACGAAGTACCGGTACTCGCTCAGGTTGGAACCTGTGGTGATGATCCCTACGGGCACAGAGAGGGAAAGCAATCAGGTTACCGATGATTATCAGGATTAGGGCCTCACAAGAATACAAAATCCTGCAATGGAGGATAAGTAAGGATCAGTATTGCAATAACAATCAGTCGCCACATTTGCCTATTAGTGTCCATCATTTTCTCATCTGTGCTTCCACCACTTTGAGAAGATAAGAAATGTGATTAGTGTTTGGTGAGAGGATCTGCTGCAGCTCTTAAAACCAATCTACTTGATAGAAATGATATAATAAAAAAAATACCAGTTTCAGTTTAAACAAAAAAAAAAAACAATATCAAACATGATCCCTTTACTTGATCCCAATGCGTAACTCTACTAATGAATCAGTACATAAGTGCTTTGTTAATATGAGGAAAACTAAAAACACATTAAAGTTGGTCAAAGATATCATCCAGGTCGGTGCATCGGCCCAATTCTATCACACGCTGATATTTTGCTAATATGTGTTTGATATATTGTTTAACCTTTAGCCTGATACTGCGAGGCTGTTTCTTTATCTTTGGGTGAAAAACTGGCAGCGTTGAGCCTCGGCTTAACTGAAGAAGTTAACAGTCCAAAAAACACATGTTGGGTTTTAAAAACAGAGCTTTTCTGGCAGCTGGTCAGACTAGGGCTGGAGCAGACCATTAGTCACATTTCCTGTCCCTGGATCAGAACCAGGTGGAGTCACAAAACGAAAAAAGCTGATGAATTCATGAAAATGGGTTTTTAACTCTGCTTATCAATGTTTAGGATCAATTTTGTTTTTTTGTCAAGTTCTGTAGAAATCTGAACATAAACCTGCTTTTTTTATGTTAGTTTCTGTGTAACAATCAGTGTCATGAACCCCTGATAAAAAAGGCGAAGAGTTTCTGTCTCTGAATATAGTAGGACTGTTTTTAATAGATTTTTCATTCCGCCTTCATCTGACAGTAGACAGACAGGAAATAGGAGAGCGATCAGGATTTATAACCTTGGACTTCATACACAGCATTCAGGAGTCACTTGATCTACTCCTGCATCACCGTTTTAAAGCATGAACTATTACAGCTATAAAGAAGAGCTTTAGAAACTGCTGGTAATGTTAGACAGCTGGAACGTGAAGGTGTGATCTACCTGTGATCCTCTTCTCCCTCTTGAGGTCGACCTGCAGCCACTGCTGCTGGTCGCTGTGTGACGGAGCCCAGGGCAGCCCGGCCTTCTTCAGGCGAGCTCCGGATTCCCTCCACACTCGGGGCTGACCGGCGGTGGTGTTCCAGTCCCACACGGACGAGGAGCTGAGCTGAGTGTCCGCAACCCCGCCGGACTCCAACCCCAGCGTCCCGTAGCAGCCTGGAAGACATAGATAAGAATGAGGCGAAAACAATGACATAAGAATAATTAGTATGAAGAATATGCCTGGAAAACCACCTCACCGTTTGTTTTGAAGGTGAAGAGGCTGTTAGACAAAGTTCCTCTGGAAGAAATGAAACAGAAGCGATAAGTGGAACCGAACAGGAGGAGGCAGAGGCGGGTTTCCTGTCACGTCCGTATTTCTCACCCAGTGGAAGTGACATTGTTCGCCAGTGTTCCCTCGTAGTGAGGAATGCCTTTGCTGCTCACCACGTGGATCCTCCCTCCCACAGCGTTGGACACTACACCTGCGTGGACCGCTGCCACACACAGGGGGGACGACTGCAGGGAGAAACAGAGGAAAGAGAGATGGCTGCCATTTACCTTCACCAGTATTTCTGGTGGTAGAAAGGGCTTTAGACGGACAGAAGACCGGAAAAAACAGTTTGGATGAAGATGTAACAAAAATTTTTTATAAAGATGAGCAAAAAATAAAATAACCCAGACATTTAAGTTTAAACTTAAACAGGGATGCAAACGTTCAAGTTGCTTGATCAGCCCTGACCTCAGATCATCCATTAACTTACAAATACCATCTTTTTCCAATCAGTTGAGGCATCATAGGTACAGTATGTTCAAACTATTCATAGTCCTGGTGGATTTGAATTAAAAGGGATTTCATTCAACAAAGCATTTTTTTTTCTTTAACTGCACAGGTTTCCCTAAAAACTATTAAATAATGTAAGTTTTGAGCTAAATAATTCATTATTTTTTAAATTACATTATTCAAAATTGTACCCCAGAAACTATTAATATCCTTGTTATTAGTAATAAAGGTAAAAATCTTTTTACATATTTCCACTGGAATTTGGACACATCATTCTTCTCTCAATCACCCTCATCTTATAGATTCCTAATCACATTTAAGCTTGTCAGCTTCAAAATAATTATCCATTCCCATCGGAAGAGGCATGTTTCTAAATTGTAAACAATTACTTTACTTTTAGCATAATTACTGTGAATCAATGTCAACGATTCTAAAGTGATAAAAAGCAGAGATTTCTCTCTTTATCAGGATGTTCCTCACAGCAGCAAACAGCTTTCCTCAGCATGAGATCAATAGAACAGAGCTCCTCCAAAAACATCCATCTAACAAAAGGATTCAGCGGAAACAAAAACATTCAAAGTATCCCTGGAGAACAAAGTGTGCATAAAAAAGGAAAAGAACAGCTTTTCTCAGCAGCACTGTGATCGTCCTAGCATTAAATCAGAGGACAGACTCAGCCATGTTATGAGATAAAGCCGTTAAACTTTTCCCAATTTCCACATTTTCCATCAATTAAGTTGCACATTAGATATGTTTGTCAAGTTCTTAATATTACAAATCAATCTGAAAACAACTGCAAAGACTTTATTTTATGCAACTTTTAGCCATTAATGAGAGGTCTGAGTTTTTCCAATCATGAAAGCTCCATAAAAGCTCAGCTTTTTTGGGAGATGGTTTTGCGTTTTAATGCAAAAAAATCGCCATCCCATATGTTGCTGGAGTCTCTGAGAAATCCCAGTACATCTCAAACCAAACAAGACCCTTAATGTAGTGAGGAATGCTCTGATCTTTATATTGGAGACACCAAACAACCTCTCCACTAGGGATGGAACGGTTTATGAAAACCGTCCGAACCGTTCGGTTCGACTGTCTTGGTTCGGTTCGCGTGTTTCTCGTTCGGTTCATGCGCTGCTCCTTTTTCTCATAAGCGAAGCGTTTACACCCCAGAGCAGAAGGTGGCGGTACTGCGACCAAAGCCAACCACCAGTAGTAAACAAGAAGAAGAAGAAGAAGCGAAGCCGTGTAGCAGAAAAAAATCAGTTGTTGTGGAGAATTGTGTCGGAATGGCGAGTGGGAAAGAACAGGAGTTGGAAGACGCACCAGCAGCACTTTATAGGTCTGCTGTATGGGACCGCTTTGCATTTAGAGTGACCTACGATGACAGCGGAAAGAAAGTGGTGGATAAAAGTGCAACAGTGTGCAAGCATTGTGCAACACGTTTTGTTTATGCTAACAGCAACACGACCAACATGTCAGGCTAACAATCAACATGTACCGAACCGAACTGAAAACCGTGACCACGAAACCGTGAACCGAACCGTGGATTTTGTGAACCGTTCCACCCCTACTCTCCACAGATGCATGGCTCAACACAGGAGAGCGACCTTCCCGGGACAGGACTCTGCTGTCAAATTGCACCTTAAAGACAATTTTTACACTCTGGACAAAGAAGACAGGTGGTTTGAAACGGTAGGAAGGAAGTTATTGATGTTAAGAAAGGAAAAATCAACCCTAAACAGGGGGGGGGGACTCAGGTTACAGCTCTCAAAAACCAACAAAGTAGCGATGGAGTTGATTTCTTCCTGCTATAATTTTAACCCCCCAGGGGACAAAACATCCCCCCCCCCCCTTAAAAGGCACAGCCCAGTATGGGGGATTTCAGGCCGAAAAAGAAGCCAAAACCAACAACTTAACACTTAAAGAACCGGCTAAAGCTTTATAGTATTTAGTAGATATGTATTTACAAAGGCTCTCCACCACCTTCCATGACTGTTATTAATCCGCCTGCACTTTATTAACCTATAATCTGACACTCTTAGCAATTGTGGTCATTTTTTAAACAGGATGAGCCAAGATGCAGCGGTGACCAGTAGGAAGTGGCCTACGCAGCTCCACTGCCGGTGCAAACACTTTAACCTTCAGACTCGAGCAGATAAAAGCTGATTAGTCAGGATGATGTCACTTCTCTACACAGAAGATACTGGGAGCCGCTGATGGGAATGAGTCACTGATTCTTGCATTCCTGTCCAAACCTGCTTGCACATCACAGACAAGCTGAGAAAAATCCTGATTCCCTCCCAAAAGGGCTCCACCAATATGAACAGCTGCTCAGGCAGGAGTGAAACTTTATTACGGGAAGAAAAGACCCACAGTGGAACTCACAGCTGAGAAGCTTGTGGGGGGGGGTGAGAAAAACAGTCTACCCGCTGAGTGATGAGAGCATAAGCAGCATGCTTGGATTTATACGTGAATGCAGCGGTTACAGTCTGCCGCAGGCCATCAACACCTTCGATGTGACTCTTAAACTTCCCAAAAATCCCACGACCACATCCTGGAAAAGTGCTGCAGCAAACCGCTGCGACAAAGTCACTGCACCCTGCCTCCAGCGGAGAAAACCACACGCTTCAACACACATGCATAAACCAGATCCAGAAACAAGGAGTGGGAAAGGGTGGATGATACCGAGACAGAAAATAAAAAGTCAGAGGTGAGATAGTGATCTGGGTGGAGCGGCTCATACACTGAATTATGCATCCAAGATCTCCATTCTGGAAGCACACATACACCTTCCAGACAGCAAAACATGCTGGCATGCAAATAGAAGACCCCCGGCATGAGTTTCTGACATATTTAAACAACCCTGACTCATTCTGCAGGCTTTTGTCTCCAGAAACACGCAGCTCTGCACGGCACTCTCCTGCAGCTGGGCTGGATTACAGCGTTATTATTTTCAGCAAAACTATTATCTAACCTCCCTTTCACCCAGTGACCCTGCCCCTCCTCTGTTCCTGTGGGGCGCCTCGCTCCCAAAAGCACGCCCCCGCGCTCCTCCTGTCTGCCAGAAACACCCTCCCTCCATCTTCTAGCTAAATAGCTCCCAAAAAAAATAAAAAGAAATACTAATGAAGTCATCATTAACAGATTTTGCTGCAGTGACCTCAGGCCCAGCAGGGGCTCTGTGGCACGATCAGCCCAGGACATGCACAAACAGAGAGGAGGCGCTGGAGATCCAACAGAACCGCAGCGACTACCACTCACCTCTCTGTATCCATTCGGTATGGTTCCAGAGATCTTCTCCGTCGACGTCAAGCAGCCTGCAGGACAGTATTTACTGTAAAGCCAAAGAAACAATGAATATCAGTGCAGTCTTTGCACAAAAAACAAATAAATCAATGAAAGGAAAACACTGTTCACCTGAACTCTGCCTCAGGGAAATCAGATCCTTTGTCGAGGCAAGTGATTAGATCTGTGAAGGCAAACAAATCCTCAGAACTCGTTTCTCTGCATGGAGTTGCAAAACAAGGTTCCCTTCTCCAAAAACAGCAACTGCCACAATGTTTTCTGTGATCAATCCTCTTAAAATTATAAATTACAGTCCTAAAAATAAGATTTTTTCTTTTTTACAAAAGCAGGACTATTTTTTTAAGAAAAGCTTTAAATGTGCAGAGATCAACCATATGGGTAGGCAATTTGAACCAATGCAATTATAAAAAAAAAAAAAAAGGAGAGATACAGTGCCTCACTAAAGTATTCACACCCATAGAGCTTTATTATCACATTAAATCCACACACTAAGGTTAGGGAAAGAAAGCAATCTAATCTAAAGTGATCCAGTCTGGCTGTGGCTGCATCTCTATACTAGGTAGAGGCAAATCTATGGAAGCCTAAACAGGCCTTCATGCATTTTGCTCCATCCATCTCTACATCAACTCTAAGCCTTTCATTGCAGGTGTAACCCCTTAGAATGATACTGCCTCCACCTCCCTTCAAGGTGATCAAGTCAGTCCTGATATGAAGGAAATTCTCTAGATCAACTGCTGACCTCGTGACATCTGCATGTCATCCCCTCTAAGTTTATTTAGAGCCTGTAACTCAAAGATTTAAGTTAAGAATTTAGAATATGAGCCATGATAATGTGTCCATTTATATTCTGAAAACAAACCTCATCGTCCTAAATCACTAATCAATCCGTACAAACACCTAACGGGCTGGTTGGTATGAACCTGTCCTCCTGCAGGTCTGAGTTGCCTTTACATCTGTGACACCCTGATATTGACTCTTCTAAATACCTTCAGGCATCAACTGGTGAATCTAAGAAAGAAAAGGGAACCTATAAAAATCAGAAAATCCTATTGCTGTTTGTAAACATCTGAAAGGGTTAGGGTTTCAGGAACATTTCACTCGGAATACATATAACAAAGTTTCTGCTTAATGTTACTGATTGTGAAAGTAACCGTATTTTCACGACCATAAGGCGCACCGGACTAAAAGGCGCACTCTCAGTTATGTGTCCCATTTCTGTATTTAACACACACATAAGGCGCACCAGACTATAGGGCGCGTTTTTTATATACCGGTACATGTCCTCTACTACCTTTAAATACCTCTACTGCGTATTTAAAAATACAGCGGGGGCAAAACTGAGTATGATTGTGCTTTATTCATGTATTTATTACAAAGTATTAATCCAACCTGGCAGCTGGCCGTGAGACAGACACATCGCAGATGACACAGCGCTGTGATCACTCCTAAATTAACTTAAAATCCTGAAACCTGCCGACGGAATTTGTTCGCTTTTATTACCGGTATCCTGGTGCCTGCAGCTAAAATTATTTAGATGAAAAACACCTGCCAGCAGCCGCGGTGAACCTGGAGGCTGCCCAGCCTAGAGGCTGCTGATGAAGAGATTTCTGCTGTCGGCGCACCGCTGGTATGTGGCGGTCTGAGCGGCTCCGACAGAAATAGATAATCTGGATGAACTGACTGCAATTATGAAGTTTTCAGGTGTATTTTCTCACTTAAAAACATATTAAAACTACTTTATTCCCACTGATCACAGCAAATATAGCTGCAAGATTTAGATTATTTAGATGAAAAAACACCTGCCAGCCGCCGCGGTGAAGAGGAGGAGACCCGCCCAGAGGCTGCTGTTGAATTAAGCTTTCAGGTAGAAAAATACAGCAGGGGCAAAACTGAGTATGACTGTGCTTTATTCATGTATTTATTACAAAGTATTAATCAAACCTGGCAGCTGGCCGTGAGACAGACACATCACAGATGACACAGCGCTGTGATCACTCCTAAATTAACTTAAAATCCTGAAACCTGCCGACGGAATATGTTCGCTTTTATTGCCGGTATCCTGGTGCCTGCAGTTAAAATTATTTAGATGAAAAACACCTGCCAGCAGCCGCGGTGAGGCTGCTGTTGAAGGGATTTACTGTCGGTGCACCGCTGGTATGTGGGGGTCTGAGCGCCTCCGACAGAAATAGATAATCTGGATGAAGTGACTGCAATTATTAAGTTTTCAGGTGGACTTTCTCACTTAAAAACATATTAAAACTACTTTATTCCCACTGATCACAGCAAATATAGCTGCAAGATTTAGATTATTTAGATGAAAAAACACCTGCCAGCCGCCGCGCTGAAGAGGAGGAGACGCACCCACAGGCTGCTGTTGAATTAAGCTTTCAGGGAGAAAAATAGAGCGGGAGCAAAACTGAGTATGATTGTGCTTTATTCATGTAGTTATTACAAAGTATTAATCAAACCCATCAAAGTCATCATCCTCTGTTTCTGAATAAAACAGCTGCGCTAAATCAGACATGCCAGTTTCCCCTTCTTGGCTGTCAGAGTCACTTTCCGTGCAGCGCAGCTCCTCAGAAATAATGCCGGCTTTTGCAAAAGCTTGAACAACAGAGCCAGCAGACACGTTAGTCCAAGCATCTACAATCCATCCGCAAACGGTGGCGTAACTTGCCCGGCGCTGCCTTCCACTTATCCTGAAACTGTGGTCTCCGTCTGTCATCCATCGCTCCCACGCCGCTCGCAGCGAACGGCCGCTTCACACCGACGTCGAGCGGTGGAAGTTCCTTTGTCAGACCCCCCGGAATAACGGCGAGCACAGCGTTTATTTTTTTTCACCATGTTTTTCACATCAGCTGTGAGATGGGCACGCATGGAGTCATATATTAAAAGCGATGGTGATGCGTGGAAAAAAACCACCTGGTCTCCTCACATAGCCTACACCTCCCTCAGCCACGCTTTCATCATCTCCTCATCTATCCAGCCCTTTCATTTGCTTTAAAATCATATGTCATCAGAGCGATGTGTCTGTCTCGCTGTCAGCTCCCAGATCAGCTTCTCTGATTCGTTGATGCGGCACTTCCAGCAGCAAAACTTCAATTTTTTCCATCTCGAGCAGCAGCAGCGCGTTGGCGGTGCGCTCCCGAATCGCTGCTTCTGCTGCACCTGCTGCGTCCGGTTCACAGCGAGCACAGCATTAATTTGTTTCACCATGTTTTTCACATCAGCTGTGAGATGGGCACGCATGGAGGCAGATTAACAGCGATGGTGTGGTGATGAGTGGAAAAAAAAACACCTGGTCTCCTTACATTCACCCACTCTTTCATCATCTCCTCAATGAGGTGGTCTCAAAAGTCGCAGTTGCAACACACATAAGGCGCACCGCACCATAGGGCGCACCGCACATTTTGAGGGGGAAAAAAGACGTTTATGTGCGCCTTATAGTCGTGAAAATACGGAAAATAAAAGATATTACCCTTTAGAAATGGATAAAATATGCTAAATAAAACAATGTAAAGTATATGATAGAGAGTATTGTAAATTTGCACACTTGTTCTGATAGTTTCAAATTAATGCATTTAAATAACATGAAATGTTTAGATATATTTATATGTGTTCTGCTGCAAAGCTAGCTAGAGTATGAAGCTGCCTGGTGGCTTCAGCTCACTGTGCTGCACTCAGAGGAAACACTGGAGATGATGGTCCAGTGTTGCCAAGGCAGCTACTTTGAGGACTTCTTAGACCAATCAACCAACTTTTTTTTTTTTTTTTTTTTTTTTTTTAATACAGCTGGAAACAAAATCTGTCTGCTTTTCTCAGTTTTTAGTGGAAATTTCATGTGAAGCAGCCAACGTTCAGCTATTGCCGGCAGCGATCTGCCATGCCTCTCCCTGCTTTCCTTAAAGCGACGTCTCACAAGCACGGGCAGCAGCAGCAGCTGCATCGTCCTGCATGCAGTCACAGCAAATAGACCAGAGAAAAGACAGGTTTCATTTTTGATAAGCTGCAGCTGATTCCTGCCTGAATTGCAAAAAAATATGATGTAAACATAATTTGTTGATCTAGTCTCTTTTACTCTGGCATTGTTGCCTCAAAATAAACCCATAACCACACAGCTTATTGTTTATTCAACCCCAAATGCTGGTGCCGAAAAACTACTGTGTTTTTGGAAAAAATAGATGTTGCATGAATTCAGGTAATCTATAAGAATTCACACAAATACAATTAGGCTCATATTGGATTTTTAACATCCTTCAAATGGCAGCGTTAATTGTTACAGTTTTGTTTCAGATCCTAGTGGAAACCCTGAATTATCATATTAATGGTTTAAATTTTAAGGATATACATGTTTCAATTTTGCACTATATAATGTCAGCACTGCTGTCCATGAACCTTATCTCACTCACACCTGCCTGGTGGTGGAACTAAGGGAAGTCTGAATTAATTAAACTACAGCAAAGTATAATTGAAGGACATTTGAAATATTATATTTGACCAAATTTTCCATCCTAGCAACCCTTTAGCGTTTAGATACTGCAGAAACGAATGCTACAAACAGCAATGTGATTCAATAGTGTGAAGAAAATCCTCTTGTTTTACATCCAACAGCTAGGAAAGCCAGTGGAAAGATGGATGAGATGAGCAATGCAGAAAGTGACACAAACGCTTGACCTCTATACAATATTTGAGGATTAGATCAGAATATCCCCTCAGTAAAGGTCCTGTTATGCTAAAGTGAGTCGCAAACATACATCAGAAATGAATTCGTCCCAATTGTGGCCTGAAAAGCTTCACTCAGTCATCACAAAGGAAAACAAATCTAACAAACCAAATGTCCTGATTCTTTCCATTAAAACTCCAAAAAAACAAAAACAAAGTATCCCTTCATTAAACTGGGAGCATGTGGGAGTACAATGGGCGATCAAAAGCTCCAGCCACAGGATGATGTGGGCTGCTGGGAATGTCACGTAAACTCTGTGGCGAGCTACAGCCCATCTCTGATGTAACCACATTAATATAAAAAAAAAAAAAAAACGTACCTAAGGAAAAAAACAAAACAAATCCCCTTCAAATCACCATGGTGACCGGCTAACTTCTTTGTTCGTGCTGCTCACCCACCTGAATCACCTGTGTGACAGTGTTCGTGGGAAGCAAACACGT